CAGTAGTAACAACAACATTAACAGAATTATTAACAACAACAACAACAATATGACAACTACAAGAACAACTATAGCAACAAAAACAGATAAGCAGATGTCTGGACACCATTTGAAATGTCTAAACGAAACTTGTCTTGATGAGACATTAGTCTGACAATTTTAATTTTTTCTCTCTTCAACATTCAATCATTGCAGGTTTTAACACTAAGAACCGTCCATGAGCAGTTAGTTCGCTTGCTATCACAACAAGAGAGACAGCAACTCAGGACGTCTGATGCCTTTGTACCATTTGCTGGTCTGAACCCATTACATCAAAACCCCTACACTGAACCACTATGGAGGGCAGCTGTAGGYCAGTATGAAAGGGGAATGGCTCCAGCAGAGCAGAAAATTGCTGGGAAACTACGGCAACAATTTAGAGATTTATCAGCCCAGTCTCATCAGGTAGGCATAAAGATGATGATGGTGACCATGGAAATGTTGAGATGTTTTTATATAGCTTACAATGTCTGTGACAAAAGTATTGATTAATATGTTATTGATATTTTCAGCTTTTACGAGAATTTCAAAGGTACAAAGAACTAGTAAAAAGGCCAAGTATTAGCAAAGAGCTGGCACCAGAAAGGTAGCACAACAGTTATTTTGAATAAAAGCAAGACAATTATTTTAAATACAATGTAAATAGATTTAGTAGTAGCTGACAAACATGGAAATGTTAAAATGCTATTCACCATTTTGATAAAATATGATACAATACAGTATCTGAAGCCCTACTGCACTGTGGAATTTGACTCTACGATCACGTATAGTTTACAAGTTTACTTGTGCGAGTTGTAATACTCGTTATATTGGTGAAACCATTCGCCATTTTTCAAAACGTATCAATGAGCATTTATATAAAGATAAATCCTCTCATGTTTTTAAGCATCTAGCTTCTTCTTCTAGTTGTAAAAATGCTGCATCTCCAGATTGCTTTGAAATTTTAGACACTGCAATTAATGGTTATGAGCTAAAAATAAAAGAAGCTCTTTTTAACAATCATTTTAAACCTGAACTTAATACTCAGGTCAAACACTATAATACCACTATCCACTTGTAATCTCATCTCTTGTTTTAGTTTACTTTTGACCGTTGTAATTTAATCATATTATCTATTACTACTATATAACTGATTGTAAAATGTAATCACATTCAAACTGAAGATGGCTCTATGAAAGTCGAAACATGTCTTTGAAATTTAAAAGTGTTGTATTAT